AAAAGTCAACTTTGAGGCTCAATTACTCAAAAACTTTCTAAGCTGTCAAACTCAATTTTGCACGGATTCATAGAGAATTTGGAAGAATAATGGTATAGAATTTATTTCAATTTTCTAAAATTTGACAAATATATGGGCAATGCGCAAGGCATGTCAAGATTTTGAAAATTTTCCAGAGCCAAAAATAAGATTTCCTTTTGATTTTTGTTCCTGTTTAAAATGGCCATTTGAAAATGATGTCAGGGCTGTTTTCCACTAATCTTCACCCGCTTTATCGATTGGTAAAGTCAAAATTGAGCAAAAGTAAAAAATAAAAAAATTGAGTTTTTTTATAATGGATACCTACCCCTTTAAATTTTAATTCCAAATCTTCAAACCTCAATTGTTTGGTAACCATTGGGCAAATTGCATTGAAATTTCCAGTATTTGTAGCGCTTACTAAGCTCTAATAAATGGCCTGTAATTTACAATATTCCTAGGTTTATAGTTTTTGAGCAAATTGAGATAGTCAATCTAACACAGAATTATGGAGAATTTAATGCTCTTTCTAATGGTGTGTAAATTATTCCTGTTTGCTTGAAATTTAACAGAGATTTGGACAGCTGTTCATGACCATGTCAAGATTTTGAAGTTTTCCAGAGCCAAAAATAGGATTTTATTTTTATTTTTGTTACTACTTAATGGCCATTTGGAAATGATGTCAGGATTGTGTTCCACTAATTTTGACCCACTCTATCGATTGGTAGAGTCAAAATTGAGCAAAACTGAAAAATAAAAATCCAGAGTTTTTATAAGGGTAGGTACTTTTTCTGAACTCTAAAAGCGAACTTTGAGACTCAATTGCTAAAAAACTATTTGAGCTAACGAGCTCAATTTTGTACGGATTTATAGAGAATTTATTATTGCTCTTTCCAATGATAAAATAATCAAATACCCTGTACCTATTTTCGAATCATGCCCTGCTTGATTCTTAGAACTGAGACTGAGACATACAAAATTTCACTCAAATCGGTGCACCTTATAACGAAAAATATAAGAAATTACTAAGCACCAAAACACCTTAGGTACTTTTATTACTTTATAAATAATAAATAACATAAAGCTCGGATAAGATACCAGGATAGAATGCGGATCGTAGGTATAATATTGGGAATAGGTAACTAAAAAAATTACCAAGAATTGTCTTGTTTTGAATAGACCAAAATTACTTCAAGTAAATCTATTAAATATATTTCGTGATGTACTTGTGCCGGCTTTAGTGGGAACCATTTGCACCTTATATATGTACCTACTAGCAGAAAATACACGTTATAGGTTTCTTTTCGTAGTGATGAAAGTCACATTCGCCGAGGTATCAAGAAAGCGGACTTAGCCGTATCCCAGCCGATGATACATCCTCAAAATTGAATAGTGTACACTTTGAATTTGGTAGTCGCAGTGCGTTAAAAAACGTATTGAAAAATTAGAGGCTAATTAAATAGAAGACGCATTAGAGTTGTTACTGATAAGAGCAAGAGGGTACACGAGTATAAGAAAGTTAGACGGAAGAAGTCGTTCCAGGTCTAAAACTAAAGGCTTTAGGTCACGAAACTGGCAAAGAGATCAAAAGGCACAGAGAAGACTTCCCGATTACGCAGTCGTTCTGCTAAAAGATCCAGGGTCTGCCGTTCTGGATTCAGCAAAACCAAAAAAGTCAGTGAAGACGTCTTAAGGCCTACTTTCGAATACTAATGGTCGGGATGATAGATCCAAGTCCAGAGAAGAAGGTCGTCATGTCACAATCGCTTATATGGTACTTCTCGGAGCAAAAGCGAATTGGGGTGGAAGAGCAAAGAAGTTCTTCACTAATCACTAAATTAAAGTAATAAAACACCTTCCCAGTTCCAGTAGGCGCTTGATCAATTGACGAAAAAGGACCTACCAGTATTAGGCGCACAATCGGTGGATGAAAAAGGACCTACTGGTAGGCGTACGATCGTTGGATAACAAAGGACCTACCGGTAGGCGTAGGTTTCACTCCCTAAGAAATAAGTCTGGTCGAAATCGAAGCACAGAAGACTAACATTAGGCTACCAGTAAAATCTTAGTATACCTACTATAATACCCATGATGCAGGCAATGATCCAGGGTAAAGGCCTACTATGTGAATATAATATTATATATATCCTTAGCTTTAGGAGGCGTTGGGGAATCCCCAGTAATGAGGAGTGCATTTTCTTCTAGAAGCTTTAGGAGACGTTGGACGTGAAATTGTCACGGACCTTTTCGCTTTCTTTTCGCCTTCTCCAGCGGATAGGGTAGGAATTTTGTTTTTCGAAATAAAAAAAAAGGTAAACTTTCAATTTTGGAGAATCCTCAGTAAAAAGAATTAAGTGGATTTTCTTCTAGGTGATTTAGGAGGCCTTGGACGTGAAATTGCCAAGAGACCTTTTCGGTTTCTTTTCGCCTTCTCTACCGGATAGTTTTTTTTGTTCTTCCGATATTCGACAAAAGTCAATTTCCAATTTTGGGGAATCCCCAGTAAAAAGTAGTGGATTTTCTTCTAGAAGCTTCAGGAGGCGTTGGACGTGAAATTGCCAAGAGAACTTTTCGGTTTCTTTTCACGTTCTCTACCGGTTAGAGTATTTTGTTTTTTCGAATTTCGAAAAAAATCAACTTTGAATTTTATTTTGGGAAAGCCCCAGTAAAAAGGACTGGATTATCTTTTGGAAGCTTTAGGAGGCGTTGGACGGGAAATTGCCAAGAGACCTTTTCAGTTTCTTTTCGCCTTCTCTGCCGTATAGAATATTTTGTTTTTTCGAAATTCGAAAAAAGTCAATTTCCAATTTTGAGGAATCCTCAGTAAAAAGGAGTGGATATTGTCTTCTAGAAGCTTAGGGAGGCGTTGAACGGTGAAATTGCCAAGAGACCTTTTCGGTTTCTTTTCGCCTTCTCTATGGGATAGGGTATTTTTTTTTTTTTTTGGAAATTAGAAAAAATCTATTTCTAATTTTGAGGAATCCCCAGTAAAAAGGAATGGATTTTTTTCTAGAAGCTTTATCAGGCGTTGGACGTGAAATTGCCAAGATACCTTTCCGGTGTCTTTTCGCCTGCTCTGCCGAAAAAGTCAACTTCTGATTTTGGGGAATCCCAGTAAAATGGAGTCGATTTTCTTCTGGAACTTCTTCTAGCATTAGGAGGCGTTGGACGTAAAATTGCCAAGGGACCTCCTCTTACAAGGATGAATGGAAAAAAAAAACGTGGGTATTAGAATTTGAAAATAGAAAATTCGCCTTCGCTCACAATAATCGTACTTATATAATTTAAATCTATTTTATTTGTTAGACAAAAGAAAAATAAGGTAGATATTTATCAATAAGTTTAAAATAACAACCTTTATCCAAGTGTTTGCATATTTTTCTACAAGTAATCGTAATACGATATGTGCAAAACGGCAATAATTATTAAGATAAAGATGATTAAATTTTTCTAGCTCATTCATCGACGGCTGTTTATTGTGTACCTATCTATGGTTTGAATATTTTGTTTGTATCATTTGAAGTTTCTTTTTTTGGTGAAAATGAGATTTGCACGTGAGTTTTTACATTATTTATGAATAATTTAGAAACATTGTTAGCTGAAAATATACCTTGGAACAATTTCCTTCTTTCCATATTTAAACATTTGATTTCAAAGTTTCCAGTTTTTATAGTCAATCTAAACCTAAATGGATTACTTATTTATTTCTTATCAGCCAGAATAGAATGTGTTAAAGTGGGCTATTTCATATCTGGAAAGCTTCCCGCAACGGCTTCGTAGTGCCCTGGGGATGCGTTCAAAACCCATCGGCGTTTCTGATCTTTATCGTTGACCTGATTTTGAATTTCACCTCAACAGTTTACCTTTTTTTTCTGATAACTGAATTATTTGCAGAAGAATATTTTGAGGGGTTTGCGTTAAGGGAATATTTTGATATGTTAAGGATCCTTTTATTGATTCATGAGTTTTTTCTTAGCTTAGAATTAAAAATATTATGTGTAGGTATTTCCATATTTATTATGCATCGGTTATTTTTATTTTATTTTTTTCTAGTGATGAAACTCAACAATCTGATTATTTTCAATTGTATAAGCACCGACACATATCTAAAGGGGCTTAATGCCTGATTCAAATAGCTAGCTTTCCTAATTTATCTATATCATAATATTATGATTCGGATAATTCCATAAAAAAGCTAAAAAGCCTACCGATTTGATCATCAAATGCAGGTGAATTTCAAATAGTCATTATGCACTACCTAAAATCTTTCAACAAATCCATAGTAGTTCACATAAATCACTTTCCATTTCACCGACACTGTTTCTACATTTAAAATACGTCATCACTAAATCCCAAAAGGAAGAGATATAAGCCCGAAAGAAACGCTTTTGCGGTTCAATAAGTTTCGTGCTAAATAGAATAGATCCCAAGTCGTAAATTTGCATAAACCCATCTGTGAAAATATTCAGTTTCCCAAGGATCTATTTTTAGTTGAGCAAAATTTTCTTTAAGAATAATTAATGTACGCCCTGAAAAAGGATATCGAAATAGGCCGAACACAAAACCCTTCGGCTGGACCTTTTAGGTTTTGCCTGAACCTATTGGCAATTGAATATATGCGTGGGTTCTAATGGTTGATCACTATCTGAAATGCCCTTATGTGTGCGGTCACCCCTGCATTAGGCCAATCTTGAAGGGATAAAATTCTTTTCTGCGCGATTTTTTTGTATGTGCTTGCTGAGGTGGCATGTGTTGCTTTCCAGATAAGAGGTTTTGTTTATGTATTCAATAGTGCTAAGACGATTAATAATATTGACTAGGTACGGTAGATACCACCTCAATTAATCAGATCAGTGTTTTCTTGAGGTTTTCGTGTAACTTCAGCTAAAATTAGTTGACTATTAATTGATTATTATTGTATACCTACATTAACGTAACTTATAAATTGACGATCAACTAAAAATTAATTGGTTTGTTTTCAGTTTTGTTCGCGCTATTCTGCATTATTCTGGTGATGGGGACTTGGTACGCGCGAACATTTAGCCTCCTAACCATTGGATCAATTGATGTTAAAAGAAATCCCATACCCTTGGCTGGATTCGAGAAAGCAATCAGGGAGCTCATATTTTTCTATTGCTTTAGAAAATTCACCAAAAGCCCAATGGAGTCATATATTCGGGGGCTTGAGAAGGCTTATAATTTTCAAAATTTGGATATTTCGTCGAACTGTGAATACATAATAGTTGTTGTTTTCGTTTAATTAAAGGATTTATATTGCCAATTAAGTTATGAATTTAAGGATTGTAAAACGCTTATTCTTCAAATTAGGGGAACCTTGCTTTTTTCTTATATAGTCATGTAAAGCAACCAACAACCAGAATAAATTCTAATTCGCAATTATTACAAATTTTTACAGCCTATTACACACATTTCCATTGAAAAAGTGTCTTGTTCAATTATTTTTTGATATTTTCTAACGCATTTAAGCAAGCCTATTAATTTTAATTTTTTTTTTGGTTAGAGGCCCACTTACAGGTGTCATCACAGGCCAAGAAATGAGTACCTAATACTTTTATTTTTTATAACACCTACCAGTATTATTAAAATACCATTTATGTATACTTTTGTTTTTGTTTTTTTTTTTTTTAATCCTTTTTATGAATTTATTCTATGGTTTATATTTCGCATAATTAAGGCGAAGGTGAATTATATTTTTTAATTAAATTTGACACCAAAAGTGATCCATTACATTCCTAGGACCATACACCATACATATTTTATAAAGTTTAAAAATTATGTATAACTAGCTAATGACCCGCTGCGTTGCCAGCGTGTAAATACATTTTGAAATAATACACTTCTTTTCAAATTTTGTTGTTGATTTTCTATTTAATTTTTTTTTTTAAATCCGATATCAGAGTCGCTTGCCAGTGAGTTCAGTGACGCATTTTAAGCACTCCAGAGCTGCTCTAGAGCGCCCCGGGCTGTTTATAGGCGTTCCAGTGTGTCAGAGTTTTCCGCAACCGAACTGTTTTTTTCGGGATAAAAAATAGCCTATAGCACTCTCCTCTATAGCCGATTCGATTGACCGGATTAGATCGATCTGGTTCAATTTAAATGAACCACACTGTGTTCGATTCGAGCTGGATCAGTGCACCCTCATCAACAAAAAAATGATCTAGATCAGAAGAAGTTCACTTAAATTGAACCCAAATCGATCTAATCTGGGTCAATCGAATTTACCTAATATAGAGATACGTGGTATTAATTCAAGATCGGTCCAGCCGTTCTTGAATTCAAGAAATAATAAAGTTACGTCGGTTGAATGCAAGCCTAAATAAATGAAATATTTCAACGTTATTTCATGCTGTCAAAAAAAGTTGGGTTATGTTGTTATGTAATGTGAATGAGTTTGTTTACAATTAAATTAATAATTAATTCAAAATTAATTTCTTTTCCCGAGATGCGTTACCTATCCACAAACCTTCCTTGGGGTGGCCATAATAACCTACCAAAGTTTCATCGTAATCGGATAAGTGGTTTTGGAGCGCATATCCGGATACCCCGTGAACTTTGATTTTTATATATATAGATAGGTACATCTAAAATTTTATTTTGAATCAATATGGGGTAATTTGTTCGATTTTTTCTCGCCAGAGGCAGCAGCGTCAAGCAGCGCTATTATGATCTTGAAATTAATTTTGCGTATTCTTCTCGCTAGATGGCAGCGCCGACTTTCCTCAGTGGGTCGTCGAGCCCTCTAGGTTGACCAAGAGGTAGCTTATAATGGCTGTTTTCTGGGGTCAGACTTTTTTTGATGGGGTTTCTCCCCTGTGGGTATGGCACCTTTCTTATGTTTTACAGAGCCCTCTTTTCTCTGAGGTGATCTCGGTGGATGGGAGGGTCCCGTCTGCTGACTGTCTTGGATGTCATGCTTCATTCGATCAGGGATTGGCTTAGCGGTGTCATCCGGCGCTCTTCTTTGTTTGTTTTTTGCAAATTCTTATCCCTGTTTGTTCCCACGAATAGCTAGGGAAATAGAGGTCGACCACGTCGGAGCCCCGCACGGTGTGGTAAAGCTGGTTACTTGAAGAAATCGCCTTGTATCTTCAAGGCTCCATTTGAGGCAGTGCTCTCCCACCATCATGCATCCCTCGGCACGGATCGCGTGACACCTTGAATTGAGGGTTGGTCAGCGTCACCTTATTGGGTATTCGGTGATGATCTATGATGTAGCTGCTTGCAGCTCGAAAACATAGGCCGTTCGGCCATCCGCCAACTGCCGACGCTGCTCCTTAGCCTCCCAAGCCGGGGCATTTTATACCTTGCGCATTCTATACCTCGGCGCTTCCCGCCTCGGTTTATAGTATCGGTATATGATGACTAACTTCTCTACCTAGGTATTTATTCTACTCTCATGGACCTAGGAACATAATGGTTCACTTCTATGACGAGTGTTGATGATAATGAAGTTCAAATTATGGACTCCAGGATACATTAAATTATTGCATTGGAACTAAATTTGAAGCCTTGTTTTCGAACTAAAATGGGTGTTGCGGTTAAATCACTGTTTCGAATGTTTGACTGCTCAAGTATTCAAGAACTATCCAATGTTGATCCAATCGGTTTATACTCTGTGGTCGGGAGTAGCTGGGACGATTTTCGAACTATTAATTTTTGTTCTGACGTTGAGGTTAAATTTATACACAAATCACAAATCGCCATATTTATTTTGCTTGTGTCAGTATTTCAAGTAGTTCTGTTTTATAAAAGGCCGTGGCGTCATCTATTAGCAGTGAGTTATAGGAGTGACTTTTTATCATTTTGACATTTAGTAAATAAACAATTAAAAATAAAACAAAGTCCTAAATTATGGTTGTCAAAGGTAATATTGCATTCGCTCCAAGATAAAATGTTGTATGCCATTCGGCCCAGAAGGACTTTTTGTGCTTTGCTCGATTGTAGACCAACGTCGAGCTCGAGCTCAGCACAAAAAGACCCACTTCTTGGCTTAATGACATAAAGAACTATTATGCATAACCACACGTATCAACTGCAAATTCTAGCTGTGTCTAGAAGCGATACAACCTCATAGTATATGCAATGCATCGTATGCTTATATGGTAAATTTTCCAGACACACTGTCAAGAATTGTGAATAAAGATAAATTAGTGGGCGTTTTCGAACTATTTAGATTTGGCTAAATATTTCCTTTCACCTCATTAAGCATCGTAATTAAAAAGCGTGACAAAATAATTTCAATCAAAGCTTACTGAATGCAACTTTTTAATAATTTTCTTTTTCGAAAACCCGACTTACCCACTGGAACGGAAAATTTATTAGCTGATTTTGTTTATTTCGGGCATATGTGTTAAAAAAATTTATTAACCCCTAATAAAATCGCCCAGAACCCTCCCATTAAATTGTGCTTTAGCCTTTAGCTTTAGGACAGGGCGCAATGCTGCAAAATAAAATACTGGTCTGTAATTTTCCGCTGGCCATTTTCTCTTTGTTTGTGCAGACTGAATGTTAAGAAAACGCTGCTTTGGAACAAGAAATAATAACTATTCCGTAATTATCTGGACGCATCTGGAATAACTTTCCTAATTTTTCTCCGAGGGATTGTGAATTCAGTTATCATGTGGTTAGGTACTTTAAATGTCCTAATATAATTTAGGATTTCAAAATAGTTTTTCCTACACGTCCATTACATTTATTTATATTCAAATACTCAAGATGATTTTAGAAACCTTAAACCAGGCTAGACAAATCAAATAAACCTTACGTAATTGATGTTCTATTTTTCCTCCAGATTGTCCAGCTTGCAGCCACATTTACATTATAGGCGGACTAGAGGCTTAGCCAAATCCTATTTTTTTAAAAGCTTATACTTAGGCCAGGAGCTAAGTTAGGGAAAGACAAAAACTTTTGATAAAATAAGCAAGAAAAACACACGTAAAGTAGATAAATATTCGGCGGCCAGCAAGGGTTTCTTTTTTGAAAAAGAAAAAAATCTGACCGCGGGTCTACAAAAAAAAATCGGCTTTTCATTGAAACGTAAATGGAAGTTTTCTCTTTATCTTTTTCTGTAAAAGCTTGACAGCTCTAGGCTGCTATATATAAAATATACCTATTATATATTGTTTGCCCAGCGGATCTGAGTCTACGGAAGGAATTCGGACATAAATGTGCCATGTTGTCACGTTTAATTATAAAAAAGCAAAAATACTAGGCATGAATATAGTTCATTTGAAAATCCATTGTACGCTCCAGGAGACTATAGTTCTCTGGATGGTATTTTCTGCTTGATCCTGATGGTTTAGGATAGAAGAGCAGAAGGGCCTTAGTACCAGACAGGACTTAAAGTCACGGCACTTGCACTAGGGCGTAAGATAGGTAACTTACAACCAGACTAAAGCACTTGTTGTAAGTTGGAAAAAGGACCCAAGCCAGACAAAGCACTTGCTATAAGGGTTAAACCTGTAACCAGACAAAGCACTTGCTACAGGTTTAAAGAAGGGCCTAATGTAACCAGACAGAGCACCTGCTACAATAAGGCTAAAGAAAAGTAATTGTTAGAGCGCAGTCTCACGACTCTACTAGCGTTGCTAGGCCAATGGTGACTTGGGCACAATTTAAGTAAGAGAAACAACAATATGGTTGAATCTGATTTTATTAATGAAATTGATCACCTTTTATATACAATAAATGCTGATTTTGCACACATCGATTGTCGTCATTTCCAATAATAAAAGTAGGTTGCTTATAATTAATTAATTCTAATATGTACAGTATGGTAATAATATAAGATTAAATGTTCCAATTTGGATAAATGGACATCCATTTTTTAATAACAAATTATTGATAACAATAATAAAACGTTAAATATTTCAACGTGGTTGTTAGATCTATTCTTATTTTAATCATGATTTCTTCAATTTGGTCTATTGTAAAAAATAAACATATTCTAAAGATACCATCAGCTTTTGACTATTTGGCAAGCATCCGGATTGGATGAACTTGATTGGTGGAGTTTTTGGCAGGATCGCCGTTGCCATGGGGAACCATGCGGTTGTCAATTAGCTAACATCACCTTACGTCTCGCTATTGGCCAGGGCTCACGTCATTTTATCCTTCCATCTTGGAATATCGATTTATATTGAAATATCCAGTGGCGGAGGTTTGGTCATTGTCGATTTTCGTATACGAGTTGCAATATGACAACACTTTTAAAAAGTTTCGCACGCAGCTGGGTATTTTATGAATGAAATCAGCCATTTTTTTTTTACAACTGCATTCCCCTCACCGGTGCCCCGTAAACACAGAGTCGCTGGGCAGACATTAGGTATGTTTTCACAGAGTAGCTCCAAATACGCATAATTAAGATTTTTGTTATTTTATATGTACCCAGGGCCGATCCTAGCAGGTGTGCAGCGCGTGCCCCGCACGCGGGCGGCCAAATCTAGGGGCGGCCTCCCATAGTTCTGTCATTCCAGATTCAAATGAAACTTTTCACGAATTTCTCAAAATAAAACTACTTCTCATAAAGAAATGAGCTGAAGATTAAAAAACCCCTGGAAAATGGAAAGTTTAGTGCACAGTCAGTTTGATGGTTCCTTAAACTCTTTATACATCCCTCATTGGATGGCAACTTTTTGTATATTATCTCAATAAATACTTCTGCTTTGTTTTTTCAAAATGTTTATTTTTGTTCGTGATCTGCAAGAATAAATATTAACTATCCAACAGCACTAGGTGAATAGTTCGCTAATAATTTAACCAACTATTGTGGTCCCAAGTTCAGGTGGGTATGTTGTGTAGGTAAGTATTACGACTAGGAACTGGGGTATCTTTGGTTTTTCCACTGGGCCCTTTTTTCTAATATTGGACCTAAGCCCAAGCCCAGGCCCAGGCCCTACTTAGTTTTAAGATAATATCTGTCATCATTGATCACCACTCACACGCATTCAAACAACTCATAG